TCGTTGATGGTCGGGTGCTGGTCAAGGATCCTGGAAGGCACAGACAGACCTCGTGTGGGGCTTGGGCAGTGGGATGGGCAGCACCGGGACATGTACCTGTGGTCCTGCCAGGGTGCTCACCGGTGCTGGGGCTGAAGGCCGTAGAGTGTGTGGTCAAAGCGGGTGTTTGACTTCCTCTCCAGGAAAAAATTGCTGGCATTTTGAGGCAGCAGGCTGTGGAGGAGCTGCATGAAGCGGCTGAGGTAGGAGAGGTCAAAGGGGTACCCGCCATCCGCCACCCGGTGCAGTACCCAGGTCCCGCGCTTGGTGCTGAGGAAGACCTGGGAGGAAGGAGAGGAGAGGTCGTGGCATGGCAGCATCGTTGGGACAGGGCTGGGCCCCCGCTGTGCTCCTTGGACGGGGATGGCAGCACGGCTGCTGGACCACAACAGCCACCCCCATTGAGAGGGGATGGGGTGCTCATGGATGGGTGCTGGAGGGAGGGGAGCCTGCAGGGGGTGGAGGGGGGTTGCTTGCTGCCCTCTGGGGTCCAAATAATAAGCACCCCAGCCCTGGCAGCTCTCCCAGCACACCTGCTTGGCTGCGTGGCTCAGCTCCACCGCAATGTCGATGCCTGAATTCCCGGTGCCAACCACAACCACCTGCTTCCCTGAAAAGGACTGTGGGCTCTTGTAGTCCCGGCTGTGCAGGTACCAGCCTTCAAACTTTTCCAGCCCTGGAAGAGAGAGGGAAGCTGTGCTGGGCAGGGATGTGGGTCAGGGGGTGGCTGTCTCCCTGCTTGGACTGCTGGTGTGTTTTGGGGACAGGCTGGGACCAGCATGACCAACAGGAGCAATGGAGCACTGGGATGGTGCCCAGAGAGGTGGTGGCATCTCCAGCCTGGGAGATGCTCAGTGTGGCCCTGAGCATCCTGCTCTGGCTTTGGGACTGGCCTGGCTTGGAGCAGGGCTTGGACTGGATACCTCCACGCTCCCATCCCAAAATCCTTCTGCAGTTCCTGCCTGGTGCCAGGTGCTGGGAGCAGAGAAGCAGCTGGGGTCTGTGCCATCCTGCCAGACCCTGGTGACAGTGTGCTCCAGCCTGTTCCCCACCGAAAGAGGGTCTCCACAGCTGAAAGCCCTGCAGGCATTTTTGTCTGGCACCCAGAGGAGGGGGCTACCATGAGCACCGACCTCAAGCTTTGCCGGGGAGCTGGAGAGCCCAGTGGGTGTGTGGCCAGCAGCTTGGGGAGGCTGTCTCTGGTGGGAGAGGTGAGCTGGCAGCGGTGACACCTGCCAGCAGTGCAGTTTGGTCAGGCACTGATGGCATGGCAAGAGCCACCAAGGACAGACCGTCAAGATGGGTGGGATAGCAACGTGCTTGTGCAATCCCATTTGGTGCGTTAACCTGTGGCGGGATTTTTGGCAGTAGCCAGAGTGGGGTGGGGGCTAAGCTGGTGAGGAGGGTGGTCCCAGGGGTGTCAGGGACCAGGCGAGTAGCCCGCGGGGCAGTACCTGGGAAGGTGCTCAGCGGGAGGTGTGCCTCAGTGTGGTGCCCAGTGCACACCAGCACACCGTCGAAGACAGCTGCCTCCTGCTTCCCCTCGCTTTCCGTCACCACATCCCACTGGCCCGTGGTGGCGAAGTCGGGGCACTTGGACACGCGGCACACGCTGGTCTGGGTGTGGGGGGCAGCAGGCATCAGGCACCCCGTGCCTCCCAGCCCCGCCGCCGCCCCCCCAGCTCCCCCCGGCTCTCACCCTGAAGCGGATGTGGCGGAGCAGGTCAAAGTGCTGGGCGTACGTTCGGAAGTACTCCATGATCTTGGAGTTGTGCATGTAGTTGGGGAAGTCCTCAGGGATGGGGAAGTCGCTGAAGCACATCATCTCCTTGGAGGTGTTGATGATGACGGAGCGGTAGATGCTGGCGCGGCCCTCCTCGGGACGCTCCTGCGGGAGCAGGACACGGCTCGGTGCTGGCCGGGGACCCCAGGGCTGCCTGCCTGCCTGCCCTGCCTGGTGCCTCGCCATGCCTGTGGGTGCAGGATTAAGCCACGGGTGGTTGTAGCACCCGTCCCTGGGCCCAGCACCCTCCCGCGGGTGCGACTGCCCACCCCACAAAACAGAAGAGGAAGCTCTGGGTTGGTGGGGGCCATGCAGTGGTGCCAGCGGGTCATGGCGGGGGTCTTGTGCCTCAGTTTCCCCACTCCCACCCCTGGCCCTGATGAGGCGGCACGTTCCCAAAGCTGCCTGTGGAGCCGTTGCCCCGGTTGCCACATCCTGTCTCACTGGTTGCTGAGCCGGCTCGTGCACTTCCAGCTGAGTGGCTGCTCTTGCTCGCCGGGTCTCTGCCCCGGCAGCTGGGTGCTGCTGCCCTGGCTCTGCTCCACCAGCCCATTTCTGACCCACCATAGGCAGAACCAGTGGACTGTAACCGAGTCACCCCAAACCCCATGCTGGCATGGTGTGGTGTGTCCCCTGCTCGGCTCTCCCACATGCGTATCAGGGCATGGTGGGAAGGCTTTCTTCTTGTCGGTGAGTCCCCTGGGGAAAAGTCAGCAGCCTCATTAGGTGAGGGCAGAAATGAGCTCTGGGGCTTCCCCCATAGCAGGGAGGGTCAAGGCACAGAGGAGGCAGCACTTGGTGCCTCTGTGTGGGCAAGCAGCACAGAAGCAGGGGGAAAAGCAACCAGGACTTCCAGGGAAGGGCTGGGCAGGACAGGGAGTGGGACAGCCAGTGGGGTCAGATGGGACCAGGATGAGTAGGAAAGGGCTGGAGAGGACTAAGAGCAAAACAGCAGGGGAAGGGATGGATGAGACCAGGAAGGGAGGGATGGGAAGGAGGAAGGCTGAGCTGAGGGAGCAGTCCCTGGGGTAGGGTCCTTGGGGAGGGTCGATCCTGCTGCTGGTGGGAAGGAGACGGGTCCCATGTGGCCGGCACACCAGCTGGCACCACGGGCACCTCCCGCTGCCGTAGCAGTTTATCTTTCTTTTGGTTTTCCTTGGAAACCTGCCTGCTGCATGCATGCAAAGCAGGGGAGCGGTGCTTCATCAGCTGCCAACGACCGATCCCAGTCCCGTCTGGCCTGCTGCTGCAGGCATGGCACAGGGCTTACCTCAAAGCGCCAGAGCCCCCCGATGTCCCCACTCCTCTCGAAGCAGGTGGGTACCAGCCCCTCATCCAGGCAGCATTTCAGGGCGCACAGGCCAGAGGCACCGGCACCGATGATGGCTACTCTCCGGGCAGCCATGTCCTGCAGTGCAGTGGTGGCAGGGATGCTGGCAAAGCTTCAGCCTGGGGCAAAACACGCTCGGAGGGGTGCAGAGCCTGGCAGGTCACACCGGGGGGGATGTGCAGTGCTGCTCGGTTGGGGATGGCTGTCCCCATGCTTCCCATGGGCGACTGAGGTCAGGTAGGGTGTCACAAGATGTGTTTCTTCCAGACATGATCTACAGGTTCTCCCTGCTGCCATGCCACACCTCCTGCCCACGCCTGCCCTCTCCAAGGGGCTTTTTAAGTTCTGTAAGTGCTTAACGATGCTGACGCAGCCCGGGGGACATCCTGGGCACGGGGGATGAGATGTTGCTGTGCTCCAGATTTTGACAGGTCATGGCGTGGAAAACAAAACCGGGGGGATGCTCAGGGCACTGGTGGCTGGCAGCTGTGCCAGACCTAACTTGTGATGGCCTGGACCCCCTGTCACCGCTCCGGGTCCCCTACCCACCCAGCCATCCTCTGGAGGGTCTGCATGCAGGTGATGGGGGTGGCGCTGCGCTGTGCCACTGTGACCACCATGACTCGCTCCGGCGGTACACGCCCTGGGCGAGGCCGTTTTGCTGTGGATACGCACATGTGCATGCATGTGCATGCAAGTGTGTGCATGCAGCCTGTGCTGCCGCGGAGCTGGAGCTGCGCCGCTGGCATGAGGCCAACTCAAACCCATGTGTGTGTCCCCAGCACGCAGGGCGACGTGGTAGTGTCAGTGATGGGACGGACGCCTGGCTCTGTTTAACATGCTTTTATCCAGTTAGGAAGTCTGCTGTGCCTTTGCTACTTAGCTCTCGTGTGAGTGTGCCAGTGGCAGCTCACATGGATTATAGGCGACAGGAAAGCTGGTACGTCCCTGCTGCATCTAAAGCGCTGCCTGAGGGGGGACTAGAGTTTATCCTGCATGTGGGCAGGTTTCCTTGTCCGTCCCTGGCAGCAGCTCCCTGGAAGGAGTTGCAGAACAGGCACTGAGGCATTATTTCAGCAGCCAGGGAGGCTCCACGCACCCAGAGCTTGCAGTGTGGCCACAGTGGGGCTGTGCAGGGCAGGAGGAGGGCTCCTGCCAGCACTGGGATGCACAAGCTGCTGCAGGGCATGGGGGGGCTGGCCAGCTCTCTGGCACATCACAAAGCCTCCCTTCCGCACTTGTAGGGCACCTACAAGTAAGCAAAAATGATGGCGAGGATGGCCATAGCCCCAACCAGCTTGAAGAAGAGGGGCATGGCAGGTCCTGATGCTTGCTTCTCCACATGCCGTGTCTGCAGGGGCTTGATAATACGCTGCTGCTGGGTGAGGATGGCCTCCCTGGCGCCTGCCCACTTGCCCGGGCCCTGCAGGCGGTACTGGTACGGTGTGCAGGGCCCAAAGGCCACCTCCAGCGCCAGCTTGGGGTCGGTGAGGAAGAGGGCGAGCAGGTTGGGCTTGACCCCCACCTGGCAGGCGAGCTCGTCCATGTAGGGGATGTAATCCACTTGGATGGTGTGCCGCCGGCTCCTCACGTACCTGCGGGCAGGGAGGGCAGAGGGGTTTGGCACGTGGGTGCGGGGGTAACAGTGGCGGGGGCAATGCCTGCACAGGGTCTTTACCGCTTGGCCATTTTCTCCTTGGTTTGTGCGATGTCAGCCAGCATGTCAGCGGATGGTGGCAGGTCCTGCAGCCCTGGGGAAGAGGAGGCTGTAGCTGGAGGGGGGGGCTGTGTTCCTGCCATGGTCTGGTTGGCTCTGCAGCCCAGCCTGGCCTCTGCTTGCACTTGAAAGCCTTTGGGGCTTCGGGGACGTGCCACCACATCAGGAGCAAAGCGGGAGGCATGGACAAAGAAAGTAATGGCAGGAAAGGAAAGGGAGAAGGTGGTTTGCAGGCAATGGGACCTGTTAGTGGCCCCCGCGAGATAAGATGAGTGCAAGGCTCGTTGCAAAATGCAGCGCTGTTTTTTGTCCCCATGGAGAAGCAAAAGGAGGATAAAAAGGTGAGTGGAGAGAGACGGCATACAAGGGTATGCCACCAGCTGAATAACTCGGGCTTGCCCTGGCTGGGGGAGCCCAGCTGCATCCCCCCAAACTGCCTCACTTACCCTTGAAGACACGGGTGGCCCAGCGACACTGGAGCTCAGAGATGGGCATGATGGCACCCAGAGGCTGGATGAGGCCGATGAAAGCCAGCGTCGGCTTCTCCAGGTCAGGGGGGAACATGAATTTGTAGAGGGGGATCTGGTTCTCCACCACCTTCACACAGCCTTCAAGGAAGGGGAAGGAGAAGCTGTATCCTGTGGCGAAGACCACGGCGTCGATGTCTTCCCTGGTGCCATCCTCGAAGATGGCAGACGTCTCTGTGAACTCCTGGACGTTTGGCTTCACCAGCACCCTGCCTGAAATGATGCGGTTGGGCAGGTCGTCGTTGATGGTCGGGTGCTGGTCAAAGACCCTGGAAGGTACAAGGAGCCATCAGGGTGCTGGGGTGGGGTGTCTCTGCTCCATGTCCTGCTCCAGCCACTGCTCCCTGCTCTGGGGATGCTCAGCCCCAGGGATGCTCATCACAGTGGATCTGGTCCCCCAGGGATACTTGGCAGCTGCCACTGCAATGGTGCCACCAAGGGTCCCTGGAAGGGGCAGCGATGGCTTCCTTGAGCATTGCCTGAGCACAACACAGCTAGTAACTAGGTTTCCAGGGCTAGTGCCTTGGTCCCAGCCCAGGCACAGGGAGCATGGAAATGGCCGAGTGGGGCTGGACACGGGGGGAGGCAGAGGGTCCCTCCTGGGCAGAGGGAGTGTTTGCTGGCACCTGTGCTTTGGCTTCAGTCCGTAGTGCGAGTGGTCGAACCTCATGTTCAGCTGCTTCTCCATGAAGCTGTTCACCGTGGACACGCTCAGCAGCTTCTTCAGGAATGTCTTCATGCGGGTGGTGAAGACGATGTCTATGGGGTAGCCCTGATCTCCAACGCGGTTGAGGATCCACGCTCCCCGGCGGGTGCTGAGGAAGACCTGGGCAGGGAAGTAAGCATTGCCTTGTGAGCACTGTGACAGTCCTGGGGGGCTGCCCTGGGGGGGACATGTCCTTGCCCCAGGATTGCTGCTCTTCGTGCTGCCCAAGCGCTGGGCAAAGACCCTGAGGGCAGAGAGAGCAGGTGGTCAGCAACTAGCAGGAAGAGGTAGGGAAGAGCCACAGGGGCAGCCCCAGCCTGGGGCTCGGGGATGGAAATCAGGGTATCCGTATGGGATTGAGTCTTGACTGCCACCACTGTCTGGTGGCTGGGATTGGCAGGTTCCAGCTCTGCCAAATGCAGCCGAGTGCAGGACAGAGCAGTGGCTGTGCCAGTGCCTTGGTCCTGGTGTTCTCGTGGAGCCAGCAGTGTCCCATGGGGGGCTGCCCTGCCCACAGGGACCCCACTCCTGCTGCTCACCTGCTCGGCCGTTTGGCTGATCTCCACGGCCAGGTCTGACCCTGAATTCCCGATACCGATGACAACGACCCTCTTGTCTGTGAAATCCCGAGCTTCCTTGTAGTCTCGGCTGTGGAGGTAGCAGCCCTTGAACTTCTCAATTCCTGTGGGCAGGGAGGAGGGATGCTTGGCTTTCTGGCGCTGGTCTGGAGGGTCACCTCCTCAAAAACTGAAGTGGGGATGCTCCCTGGCCCTGCCAGACCACTCCTGGGGAGCATGGGAGCGCTCCTGGAGCCGAAGCAAGGCAGGGAAATGCTGGGGCTGGGAGGAAGAGCAGCAGGGAGAATAGGGGCTGCCACGGCTGAGCTTTCTGGGGTCTCTCCTTGTGCTGGGGTGTGGGGCAGTACCTGGGAAGGTGCTCAGCGGGAGGTGTGCCTCAGTGTGGTGCCCGGTGCACACCAGCACACCGTCGAAGACGGCCGCCTCCTGCTTCCCCTCGCTTTCCGTCACCACATCCCACTGGCCCGTGGCGGCGAAGTCGGGGCGCTTGGACACGCGGCACACGCTGGTCTGGGTGTGGGGGGCAGCAGGCGTCAGGCACCCCGTGCCTCCCAGCCCCCTGCCACCCCCCCGGCTCCCTCCCCGGCTCTCACCCTGAAGCGGATGTGGCGGAGCAGGTCAAAGTGCTGGGCGTACATTCGGAAGTACTCCATGATCTTGGAGTTGTGCATGTAGTTGGGGAAGTCCTCAGGGATGGGGAAGTCGCTGAAGCACATCATCTCCTTGGAGGTGTTGATGATGACGGAGCGGTAGATGCTGGCGCGGCCCTCCTCGGGACGCTCCTGCGGGAGCAGGACACGGCTCGGTGCTGGCCAGGGGCAGTGGTGGGGAGGGATGGCCGGGGCTGGTGTGGTGGCCCTTTGCTTGGACCCCCTGCCCTCAGCCTTGCGTCCAGGACCCTGCTGTGGCCGGCTGTGTGCTGCCCCACCAGCCGCTACTGATCCCTGGCTGCCGCAGTGCTGAACCCCAGGCGGACATGTGGCTGCCAGGGTTTACCTCAAACCTCCAGAGCCCTCCGATGTCCCCGGTCCTCTCGAAGCAGATGGGCTCCAGCCCCTCTTGCAGGCAGGCTTTGATGGCGCACAACCCGCTGCTGCCCCCTCCGATGATGGCCACCTTCTTCGCCATGCTGCCCTCCACCACCGGGTCTCTGCCTGGGGACAGTACCGGAGAGTGGGGCTGAGAAGCGAGGGGTGCAGCTGTGCCAAATTTTGGCCCTGTGCACCAAAGAGGTCCCAAGTCGAGAGGCAGCCCCCAAAAAGTTTGTCTGGGGCTGCGAGGCAACTGCTATCCCCACCCCAGCAGGGACCTGGCCAGTGCTGGGGTTTTATACCATCATGGTGTTGCCTCTGGATGCCATGGGGAGAAATGCTACCCAGTGCCAGGGAGCCACGAAATCTCCCTGCCTACGCCAATTCCCAGCGATGGATGTGTGCGGGAGTGCTGTGCCCTGCCGCGGGGACGGATGGCTCCCTCCCAGGTGGGTGACGGCCCGTCCGCCTGCCCTTTGCCCTCTCCCTTCCCCGGGGAGAGCCCTGTCACGCCTCAACCGACCTGTGGCCATGGGAGCGGCAGCCAGGGAAGGCCGGCGGCAGGTGGGGAGCCGCGCGAGGGTCTCTGGTGGGTTGCCCCAATCCGTGACGCCGAACGGCGGCCTGGCTTTATGGTGCGCAGCAGTGGTGAGCAGAGCCTCCCCCTCCGTCACTCCTCCCACGCAGCCAGGGAGAGGAAGCCAGAACCCAGCTGGCTCCCGGCCGCCTGCTTGGCTTTTCCAGCAGCGGCTCTCGCCACAGCCTTGGACAGTGGGGTAAGGAGCCGTCCCAGGCGCCTTGCTGGGCACCCCCATGTGGGGACACTGTAGGGACATGGGCTCGCAGGAGGGGCAGAGACGCAGCCAGTCCCTGTGGTGTGCATGCTGGGTAAACAAATGCTGCTGTGAACTTTTACCTCTGCGACTATCAGGATCAGCCCAACCCTGTTTATGCTGGTACCCACAGACACACGCAGCTCCGGCTGCTCTGGTGGCACCTGGCACCGCATCACCCGTGTCCCCCGTGCCCCTGGGCTGGGCATGTTGGCACAGCATCCCCATAGCCACAGCACATTCCTGGGCTGTCAGAGTTCTGGGGCCAGTGGGATCCCAGCGCGAGGAGTACTGCGCTGCCAGGGTATCGCTGGTGCTGAGGTGATGGGACTGGTTAGGAAAAGGCTCTCCCTGGCAGCAGGAGGCACAGACCAGGTGGCTTGGGAGCACGCTGCTGGCTCCCAGCACACTCACAGCCAGACAGCCCCTGGGGACTGCAGGGAAAATTTACTCCTGTGTCTGGGGAGCTTCGTCCCAGAGCTGAGCAAGGCTCAGGGCTGCGGAGGGGCCAAGCTCTGCAGCTGAAGTGGTTTTAACCTTCTAAAACTCATAGTATGTTTACAGTAAGTGTAATAATGCTCTTTTTGTCCCTCGCTGTTGGCAAGGGCTGATCTCTGCCTGGAGCAGAGGCGCCAAGCTGCCAACACACACTCTGTGCCTGCCTGTTGAAAAGCATCAAAAGCATCTCTTACCAGACAAGGGGATCGGCACGGGGACGGTGAGGAGGCAGCACTGGCAGTGCTACCCTCCCTGCTCCACTCGCAGCTGGCTTCTGGCTCTTTTGCAAGCTTTGCAGGGACTGCCCAAGGGTAACAGGTACAGTGGACTTCTCCCAGCTCTCAACCCTGCTGCCGTGCTATGAAACCTGTGTGCACCTTACCTTCGAATTTGCCCTTCTCTCTTGGCAGCTACAAGAGGCTGCACAGCCCTGGACTTTACCCCACTGTGTGTGGGCTCATGGCCTGGCTGAACCGCGCCGTCAGGCACAGGGGACTGTGGAAGTGCACCAGGGTCAAGCCATGGGCATTTCAGTCAAGACCGGCTTGTTGATGTCTGTGGGAAAGCCATGGTCCCCCATGCCTGGCAAGCACCCGGGATGTACAGTATGGTGTGCAGCGCGTGCAGACACATCTGCTCAGGGGTTCCACAGTGGGCAGAGGTGCTGCGAGACAAACTGAGCAGAAAGCACCAGTCTCCTCCTTCCTATCAGCGGGCTGGCACCCATGCTTGGAGGACCAATGACAAGCACAAGAGGAGACCAAAAGTCTTGCTGGCAGAGGTGAGAGGGGGGTTAGTTTGTGCTTCTCAGCCTGTTACAGAGGCTCCTTATGGTCCCCTCCTGCCAAGGACAAGTAGTCCTCTATGGAAAGACAGGGTACCAGGGTAGGAGAGCCAGCCTGCCCGGAGCACAGGGAGCTGTGGTGGTGGTTGGCACAGCCAGGGCCTTTTGCTGCAGGAGGTACAGGTAAGGCTCAGCTCCTGGGGCTGCCCAGCAGCCTGGGTGAGGGTGAAATGCTGGCTGCTGGGCTATGGGGAAGGGGCTTGCTCTGCAGTATGCTGTCAGCAGCACTGGTAACATGCTGACAAACAGGAATTGCTCTGAATGCACTGTATCCCCCAGGAGACTGAAAATCCTGTGGAGGGGAAAAGGAGCTGTGAAGCTCTGCACAAGGGTTTCAGGAGCAGGCTGCTGCTGGGAGCTGCTTCCCACTACCCGCTGTCTTTGAGATGATATGGATGGACCAAACCCTCGGTTGTACCATCCTTTCCCCATGGCACCGGGAGCCAGGTGCCTGCGTCCTCATTGCTTAAGGTCTGGCCTCAGTAACTGAATCGGGAGCAATAGGGAAGAGATGCTTTGTTTAGGAAGGCAGAGCTCTTTATAAACCTGAGGACAGACCCCAGCAAGTCCCCTCCAGGCAGTTGTTATGGAGCAGGCTTTGCAGGGCATGCTCACGACAGCAACACGATCAGTGTATTTACAGCATACAGATACATGGGCGATTGCAGAGAAATATCTGCAGAGCCACAGCTACCACATACACCACGGGCTAATACAGCAGGTGCCCAGCAAGAGCATGCAGATTCACAGTATCAGCAGTCAGCTGCCAGATGAATGTGCGGAGCCCTCCCCAGGCTCTGCAAGGACTGTTTTTTTCACCGAAGAACAGTCAGTGCAGCTGCTTGGCCAGTGCACACCCTGCCTGACAGCCCATTGGGAGGGCAAGAGAGCACCAAATGTCTAAGTGTGGGCCCAGGAGCCCAACACTGCTAGTGTTGAAGTCTTGGCTGGATAGATGGATGGGGTCTAGGATGTGAGTTCAAGTCCCAGTATCCCCTCCCTGTGCGTGCTTAGAAAACCAGGTGCACGCCCCCCTCCTTTGGGAGGGACCCAGCCATCAATGGCTCCAGAGCGCAAAGAGGGCAGGTGCGCTGAGAGGGGACAGCCAGCAGTGCTCCACCACGCTGTACAGCATGTAACCCAGCAGCAAACCAAAGAGCACGTCCGTCATGTTGTGCCTGCCCAGCATGACCCTTGAAATGCTGACGATGAGAGCCCAGAGCACCACAAGGACCCGGAGCGGGACGGCGAGCACGAGGTGGCGCAGAATGAAGCGGCAAACCAGAGCAGCTCTGGTGGCGTGGCCTGACGGAAAGGAGTACTTGTCCACCGATATGGTGACGAACATGTCCATCTTGTTGTGGGTGGGCCGTGGCCGCTTGACGAGCCCTTTCACCACTGCTACCAGCACAAGATCCAGCAGCAATGCTAGGAGACAGTAACAGTGAGTGAGCAAGGTTTGTTTTTTGTGTGGTTCCCCCCCGCCTCTGGAAAACAAGGCAAGAATCAAAGCAAAGCCATTAGCTAAGAAGAAAGTAGTTGGCTACAAAAACCTGCCAAGGTTTGTATCCCATGGCTACAATACCCAGGTAGGGAGAGCATGGCACTCATCCAGCACTTGGCCTTCTCCAGTATGAGCACATCTTCAGTCTCTGCTCTTGCTGCACACAGCCCTCATGCAACACTAGACCTTCTGCCTACCACAGCCAACAACAGGGCTCTGCCTGGCTTGCACCCAAGGGCTTTTCTTTCTGCGTAAAATCTGATCTCACCATGACTCAGGGCTCAAACTGACTCTTAATCTGAAGGCAACAGAGGGGTTAATACTCCCCACAACCCCCTTCCTGACCGCTCTTGCTGACTCAGCATTGCTTTGCCTACCCTCTTGGCTGAGGGTCAAACTGACCTGGGTGAATGATCAGCCCACTTCAACCACCCGGCCATAGCTCAGTGTGAGGGGCTCTGAGCTTGTGTGTGGTGGTGCCAGGGCTCCTGCAGCCTGGCTTCTCCCTGCTGCTGGGGGAATTAATGCCAGAAAGTTAACCACACTTTTGTTTTCAAATAATAAAAATATTTTTTAATAAAGCATGATTTAAATAACGGTGGCTTGTCCCCAGAGAGCTAAAGGCTGTTGCAGTAGAAGTCAGATGCAAAGCACCCGAGAGAAGTGTTCAGCCAGTATTTGGCAAGAGCAGCTTCTCATGTAGGGCAGAGGGTGCCTTCTCCATCCCCACTAGCTTGGCTAGCACAGTGCTCACAGCCAGGGCTACTTCCTCCAAGAAAGTCTTGTGAGTCTGACTTCTGCTTGTCCTAAGGCTCGTTTCTGGACACCAAATCTTTCAGTCACTTCAGTTCATTCCCTTTGGTTAATCATTTAAGAACAAATATTTGTTCTTTCTCCCACAGGCAAACCTAGTTCACTTGCTTTTTCTCTTTTAACGTACGGTTTGGGAGATTCAGCTTGGACGTCAGGGAACACTCCTTTTCTACATGGGTGCTGCAACCCTGGGACAGGGCTCCAGACAGGGGGGTGACTCTGGCCCAGAGCACTGAGGCAAAAGCCCTCGTGCTGTGAGAGACCTCCTCAGAGCAAAGGTTAGACTGGAGGCCTCCAGGTCCCATCCCACAGCTCTGCTCTGGGACTCTAATTTAACTATGTGCTGTCAGATGAAAAAGATGCACAAAACCATGTGTTTCCCGCCAAGCAAATTTCAATTCAAGTGATAAGTGTGAGATACCAATTATCTGCAACTTAATAGAAGACTAAGAACTAGGAACCTGAAAAGGTCTGTTGCTCCAGAGCTACTACAGTTTCTAAATGAGCAATAATGAAGAATCTAAGTATGCCTAATAGGACAGGATGCTGGGGGGGGAATATTACACCACGCAAGATTAAAATGTGTGCTCTAAACCAAGTTTCCTCACTGGCTTGTACAGATGAATCTGTGCAGGTACTGACTGCACGGAGCCCAAGGGTGCAGACGTCTGTGTGCCAGAGCAGCTTTTTCAGGGAACGGGCTGGTGTCTCAACACTAGGCAGCTGAACCTGGAATGCGCTGTTCTGATAAGCTAAAGAACTAAAAGAGAAGCTCCCCGAAAGCTTTGTGCAACTGCGGGAGCAGTTTAGCGGTCAGGAGTTTCACACTGTGTGGTTGGAGCTGTGACAGATGAGCCATACCCCTGCCCCCACACCCTCCTGCCGCAGGGTTACTCGCTCTGGTACCAGGCACCCCAGATGAGCCTGCACCAGTTACTCAGAATCAGCTGGCTCCCTTGGGGCTGTAGGAGGCTGAGGTTTACTCGGCTCTGCCCCATCCTTCAGGTCCCATCCTCCCCCCTCGGCTCAGGCCAGCCCCTGCCTGCAGAGCCTTTTGGTGAGCCCCCAGCCTCACCGAAGAGCAGGTTGAGCAGCACCTCCCTGGCCGCGGAGCTGTCGCTCTGGCAGAGCCCGTAGAAGGTGCCGAGCAGCCAGGGAACGCCGTGCCCCGAAATCTCGATGACCTTCATGAGGGGACGCGCGCTGCCCCAGGCCGAGCCCTCTCCAGCGCAGACGCCCAGGCGCTTGGAGGCCCAGAGGTCGATGGCGAGCAGGGAGCTGAGGGCGATGCCCAGGAAGGAGGGGTTCAGCTTCATGCAGTCCTCCTCGGGCAGCGGGGCCGCGGCGGAGCTGCCCGGCTCCTTGCGGCGCGACGGGCTGTCCGGGGCGCCGGGGCTGCGCTGGCTGACGAGGGACAGGAACTCCAGGCGGCTGCTGCCGCTGCCGGTGCGTCGCTCGCGGCTGCTCCGGGGGCTCGGCATGGCGAGAGGAGGCTGGCCTGGGAGAGGTCGGGGCTGGTCACCGGCTGCCGGGCCTGCTCTGGCAAGGGGACCCGGGCGAGCCGCCCTGGAGGGCCCGGGCCTGCTTCTCCCCCTCCCCGCAACCTCCTACGGGCCCCGCTGCCTGCGAGCCCCGGGCCTGTCCCCGCGCCTCCCGCCACCGCACCTCCGGGGCCCAGTTCCCCCCTTCCCGGTGTCTCTCCGGTGCCCGGGACCCGCCCCGCTCCCCCGGTACCAGGAGCGGTCCCGGCGCGGCCCCGCTTCCTCTTCCGCCGCCCCCCGTGACGCAGCCGGTTGCCATGGAGCCACGACGCCCGCGGGGCGGGGCTGCGGCGCCCCCTGGCGGCGAGGAGGTCCCTCCCCTTCCCTCCTCCCTCCCGCCGCGCCCCGGGGCGGGGATCCGTGGGCACGCCCCTCCTCCCTC